CAGCACAACATGATTTGCATAAGTGTTAGTGCTAAACAGAGTTCTGCCTTAGGTCTATCTGCAAAGTCTGGTTTCTTTTGTTGTTGTTAGTCGCGAAGTCGCTAATACAATTATCTCATGTAGGTTTCTGTTATTGGAAATGAAAATAATGAAAGCACTACCCTTGGCTGAGTTGTGCAAAATATGCACTGTAAAATATTGAAATGTATAATTCTGTTCCCAATTATGCCTAACTTTGCCACTGAAGTAAGCAATCTGAAATGTACATGATTGAGTGTAAGACTGGGACACCCATCCTGTTGTAAAAGGTCTGCATGGTGGCATTTCCTCAAATTTATCAATGAAGATTCCGCTGCTAAAACTTCACTTGCCCCATACATTTCAGAATGGCTACACTGCTCAAAAATGCTTGTGGATGAAGAATTTTGCTACTACATCACTGCAATACTTACTTTCAGAGCTCTTACTAGAAGTATAGCTCACATTTATACTGTAGTCTTAAGTATTTTATTTTTTATATTGAATTTTATATTTTATTTTATGTTTTTATGTTTTAAATTGCTGTGAACTGCCCTGGGAACTTTGACTATTGGGTGGCATTAAAATATAGCAAATTTATAAATGAATGACAACTATGATTTAATGTTTCACAACATGGGAGCCAGAGGAAAGCTGATGTTTTTGCATGTTGTTTTGAAAACTGTAATGAGTTTTTATATAGTTTTAAATAGATGTATTAGTTATGCTATGCTGAGAAAAGTATTCTCAGACTGATGGAAAATGAATATATTACATTCAGCTGTATAAGCCAGGAGGTGGGCAGTGTTTCTAAATCCATGTGAAGGATGAATGCAATCAGTTCTTGCAAATAGATTTTAGACCAATGACAATTTCAAACAGTACATCGTACAGAACTAGACATCTCATATTTCACGGATATTCTGGTAGTGAATGGGCAATTTTAAGATGCAGCTATAAAAAAGTATTAAATTAATGATATGAGCCCTGCTCTTTTGTTGAAATACTCTTATTTCTCAAGGACCCATGGCTCTGTTTGGATAAGGAAGTAACTACAATGGCACCAATTTTAAATTCAAAGAAATCTTATTTCTGACAGACCAATTAGCATTTAGGTAAACATTCATCTCCTGCTTATAGCATATTTGGGAGTATGCCTGTTTGTGCTGTGAGAAACCATGCCAGGCCAGTCGTGGCCCTGATCCTCTCTGTGCAGCTGGATCTCTTTCTGTGCTACTGTGCTGACCTCTACTCTTCTCTTTGTTCCTGCCAGAAATTGGCTCTCCCTCTAACATGATGCCCAGATAAACAGGGAGTTGCATTTCTTGTGTAGATTGAATGGCCAAAGCATAACTATTCCAGTTAATTATTCTGTTACTTATTCTCTTCAACAGGGCTACCCAGTCCCAATTATACAAAAACAAATGTTCTTCCTAAAGAGAAACTCAGGATATTTCCAGTATCTATTGAAACACTTCCACAAACTACATTAAACATTTTTAGAAGAATGATAGTGTAGAAGTGGGGGTGGGGGTGAGGAGAGGTAGCACAAACATTGACAGGCAATTTATTAATCAATGCATTTTAAATTCATTGTGCACTTGATGTTTCCAAATTATTGGTAATACTGGGCCTCTGTACAGTCCTGTGATTCATCAGTGCAGTACAGAAAAGATGTTTCAAGCAGAATCAATTGACTTGAAAGTAAAATAAAAAATGAAGTATTAACTTTTTTTTTTTTGCAGAAATGTGTAAAATTACAGGAGCTTCCCTCTGTCTTGTGAAATCTGTTTACACTTACTGAAGGCAAAGTGAAGAAAAGCCTCAGTCTTGATTTAAGTGCACTAATTATAAAATGGGACAGGAACCTTCACCTCTGAGAATCAGGAACTCATTAGGGAAGATGGGCTTGGTTTATTTAAATGCTAAATTATCTGGCCTGATATTGAATACTGTTTTCAGTTTGATAGTTTACTGCATGCTTGGACTGTGAAATCAACTGTTACTAGAAAAATGATATTTGTTAACTACAGAAATATGAATTCCTAGTTTCTGTGATATGAGAGTTAGATGCCTAGAATGCACCCTTGGGCTTTGGCTGTTTGAGAGATTTAATTACTGTGAAATATGCATAAATTTCATCTCTGATTATTCCTTTTTAAATGGCCCATTACACAGGTTTACTTAATGCATCATTGCCATCCTATTAATCCACTTAAACTGCATAGTTATAGATTGTGTTCCTGTCATTTTGAACGAGTTTTTCTATACTGTGGACCAAGTTAGGGGGAAAGGCTTGCACAAATGTGTTATACGAATAGGCCTAACTCAATTCCAGCAGCAGATAGCATGTTAAAACAAATAGTTGACTATTGCTGGAAAACTGGGTAAAGTAAATGTGGAGCAGTATCAAAAGACAGCACCTCCCTGCCCTGCCCTGCCCTGCCCTGCCCAATCCTCTACATCTCTGTAAGAATGTCTAGGTAGCATGAAACAACACTGAGTTACATTTGTGCATCCAAGAGGAAATAATCTTTATACTCTGAACTAAAGTAAAGAAACACCATCAGGCATATGTATGCAAGAATCACAGAGCATACCTTAAATACTTCAGAAAATGTGTGGCCACTGTGGTCAAAGCACAGGTGGGTACAGGTATACTTGATCTCATTGGCCCAGCACACATTTATCTTATCCATTGGTGGAACAAATGCATAGGCTGAAAGATGAATACATTTAACTAAGTATTTCTAATAAGCTTAATATTATCCATATGGACTGCAAATCTTGGGGGAGGCAGTCCAGTTTGCCCTAACCTGGAGCCCTCCATACATATTGGACAACAAGTTTCTCACACATACAGAATTGTATTACATAAAACAAATATGCTTGGAACCTCCTTCCTACAACACCTGTATGATACCTTCTCTCTTACTTCTCTCAAATAATTCTTCACAATGCATTCCTATCCATGCAGTTTTTAGAATAACATCCTTCTTCTGGCATCTTACTGCAACACATCCTTTAACAAAGCTTGAGCCAAGCAACAGAAAGAGGATCACAATGATTCCCTGGCTCCATTTCCCTTCCATTATTTTGGTGTTTTGCCTGTGTCAAAATTTAGCTTGTAAGCTCCTGATAGAAAGGACCTGTCCTCTTGTATTCTGGTACTGTTATCATTGTCACCATGCATAAGAGTGAAAATTATGGTTAGTTAACATGATAAGACTTTTACATTCTTCTATCAGATTTCACTTCCATTTGTGAAGAACAATGAATATAATCTGGATTCATAAATGTAATATAAGTGAGTTGTTTTCAGTGGATGGTTTTGCTTGGTCTTTAAAGGAGATGAGAATTTTGTAAATAATGCCACAGCACAGATTGTCATGAAATATTCTAAGCACCCTTAACTAACTTAGCAAGTGCTGGTGCTTGTCCTACAACAGTTGGTTTCAAATCAGCTCTGTCAGGAAGAGGCATGTGCCTGAGCAGTTGGAATAACTCATTCGGGGTGATGAAAGCTGACAGAAACTTGGAGCATCCATCAATCCGCTTCTTGTGAAAGACAGCATGTCCCGAGCCACGCTGCCATCTCTCGCATTTACTGGCACTGATGGCAGCTGCAAAGTATTTCTATTTACATGACAGCCCAAATAGCATTTGGATGAAAGTAGCCGTGCTTATAAGACTGTGACGCCTGCCATTCGTATTGTACTGGAAAATGTGAAAGGCATAGATAGTTTCTCCTTTATGATTTGTTTCAGATAAAGGCTAAAATATTTCCTCTTTAGCAACAAAAGAGCTCATTGAAGCATAGTTTAATTTATGTATTTATTTATATCCCACTGTTATCCATTCAAGAAACTCAAGGTGGCTTACATAATTCTCCTCTCCCTCTTAGAACAACAACCCTGTAGGGTAGGTTGGGCTCAGAATCTGTGATTGGCCCACTTAGCTCCATTGCTGAACAGGAACTAGAACCCTGATCTCCTGAGTCCCAGTCCTGTGCTCTTAACCACAGAGAGCTTTGGCTGTGGGGCAGTATAGAAATGAAAATAATAACAACAGTAATGCACCACACTGGCTCTCAGTACTTATTTGTGATGCAACTAAGCCAAAGCTTAATGTCACTTAGTATGCTAATTAATGCAACAAGACAATAGTAGACTGTTTGGAGCATAATGATTTACCATTAAATATCCAAATGCAGCTGCTCATCTGTGCTCTTAAACATAAGAGGTTAAAGTCACAGCCCTGCTTCTGTATAATGAAAGTTTTATCTTTAAATAATTGAGAATCTCAGTAACTTGCATATAAATTTTTGTTTCTTAGTCAGGCCTTTGTCATGTCCCCAGTTTGAAAGCTACCTGTTGCTCCTCTGTGTAAAATGGGAACAGCAGTGCTTCTCTGTATTGCATTTATCAACTCTATTATGCACAGCACACCCTTCCAATTTCATGTCTTAAATGTTACTTTACAGATACAGAAGAGCAGTAGAAGTATCAGTAACTATGAATTGAATGTGGAGGATACCTCCAAATTGTGCTTCCTGCATGATGACCCATAAAGCACATGCTAAGTTTATCTTGATGATCCATGTGCTGATCACTGCTGGTGCAAGTGGACTAACAGGATTAGTGCAGGAAGAAGAGCAAATATTAGTGTTATATAGTCACTGTAGCCCTAACCCCAATACTAGCATCTACCTTAGTTAAAACACTTACTCCCCATCCAAAATTTGGCAATATGATAGTGACTAAAGTCACTGAAGAAATTTAAGTGGGAGTACACTAATACAAATATACCATATTTTTGTTTTTGTTTTACAACTGGCTAACACAGATGTGTATATATTCTGGTGTTGTCTTTTTTGCATGCACATTCTAATTTGCAAAAACACATGTGACCTTGTATATGTCCACATGTAACAGGTTGAACACCCGCCCTCTGGTCAGAAGAACCATTCAAAAACATCACGGTTTTGTCTGGAGTGTGTTTGTTTATTATTAGAGCTTTTTAGAGCTTTATTAGAGCTTTTTTTAAAGTCCTCATCCAGTCCATAGTTGTAGTCAGGCTCTGACTTAACTCATCCACACTCTCACCTGAAGGAGTCAAAAAGATGAAATAGAGCTGGTGTCAAACTAAGCAGTTTCATGTAGATATAGAACAGCATGGGGGATAAGGCTGATTCTTGAGAAGAATCCATCAGACTGGATCACTGACCTCCAAGCACCACCTCTGAGACTCAACCACCCAAGTAGGGGTGGAAAGCAAGTGATGCAGAACTTGCCCCACGCTCTCAGCTCAGAGTCACTTCAGAAGGATACCGTAGTTGATGGTATTGAAAGGTGCCAAGAGAACTGCCAAAGAAGGAGGAGTTCCCTGTGGATGGCAAGTTAAGTATTACTGCAGATATAAGTGAGAATGGCTCTAGTCTACCCTTTTGCTTGGGACTGAGGTTTCTGTGTTTGACTTTAATTTTTTATGGGGAAGCATTCCCATCACATGAGCTCAAAGATGCAGTTTAAAGTGATATGGTCCAGAAGATTTACTGCCACAACTGTTTGTAAGAACAAGGCTTAAAATTTCCATGGAATACTAAGTTATACTCTTTCCTCATTATACAGAGGTTAATTGTGTTATCTACCTAACAGAAAAAGTATTGGAATAATCAGAATGAAGGCTTCCAAATTTATGTTAATATTTTCAGGAAGTTTAGTTAATGTTTTAATACCATTCAATGAACCATTTAGTCTGGTATTTTTTTTTACAGAAGCATGAGTAAACATTGCAAATTATTGTGGGAATATTTGAAAACTGGAATGAAATATCTCGAGTATTGATAGGTATAAATGATCTATTTATATATGCATATTTCATGGGCACCATTATTTGAATCTTGAAAACAAAGTTGCACATGGCCACTGCTTACCATTTGACTTTGGTGAAACAGACTAGTTAGTAAGGAGTGCCTTATGTGATTGTATTACATGGGATGGGCCATAGCAACAATTCAGCACATGCATTATGACTGAATGAAATTTAAGTGCTGCTTGTAAATCTGATTTTGATTCTCATATTCCTACATTTGGTGGAGGGATTTGCATTAGTGAAACTGATAATACATTCTGACCATGGTTTGGTTTATCACTGCACTGGGGAAAGGAAGAAAAACATATCCATATTTGATATACCAGACTTCATCCCATGCATTTTCTCCTGCCTAATGTTTCTTTACCCCAGGGGCAGTCAACTTCTTTCCACCCAAGGGCTGAATTCCATTTCAGGGAGGCTTTTGGGGACTGTATTTCAGTTGTGGAGAACCAAAGGCCAAAGGGGAAAAGTCAAAATACTCCAAATGCCAGCACATTGTAGCTTAAAGCTCTTGTTGCAAGTAACTAAGCTTTAGGAGAGGCATTTCCACCTTTTAGAATGGTGCAAAACTGGATAAAAGTCAGCAAGCTAGGAAATGAGCAGTGACTGGGAGAAAAGAGGTAAGGCCAGTGGGAGAAGCACGGTCTCCAGATGTCAGTATTTGACTTCCAAGCTGAAGCTTTGCATCCCTTCTTTACCCCACTGAAAATGCTATTGCTAAGACTATTACTATTATTTTTGATCTCTATTTTTTCATCTTAGAATCTCCTGTAGTCTAGGAAATTTCTTTAAGTTCCACAATCATTCTTCTATGTTTTGCACTGAACATTGACTAGCCCTACTAGTAGGAGGTATTTGGCTGATGTTGTAAAGCAGGGATGAGAAGCTCTGGCTTACAATTCCAGTCTTCTCTCACCATTGGCTCTGCTGTCTCAGGTGATGGAAAGTTGAGAGTCAAAACATCTGGAGGGCTGCAACTTGCCAACTCTGTTGTAAAGGCACATGTTTCTGTGGCAAACATACTGTAAAGCGATATCATGTGTTGTCTCTGAAGACTCCAAGTATAACTTAATGGAACAAGAGTTGCTTTTGAATGACATAGACTGCCACTCTGGTGCCTCTGTCACTTCTGGTAAGCAGGATTTCTTAGCAACCAAACAAGGCATGCTTCCTGGTTACTTCACATTACCTGAGTAAGGAGAGAACATGATAAAGCAAGGGAAAAGCAAAAGAACTAGCCAGGAAAAATGGCCAGTTCTAATGTTGTAACACCACATTGTAATACACATATCATAACACCATGTTGTAATAAACATTTATTTCAAGGCAGTATAGAATCAAAGTCAGGTGCCAACTAATTATTGTGATTTAGAAATTGCATCCTATTTGTTTAACTATTTAGATTCCTAGAATCTTTCAAGGTTTGATAGTGGAAAAAACCAATCGGTGTTTAATGCTTTTCCATAAATGTTACCATGATAATGCCAGGAAATCACCAGATGATTATCTTTTCAAAATGGAAAAAGACTAAAATAACATCTGCGGTGAACAGACAGATTTTGAATAAAGAGAAAGGAAAAGGGGCAGTGTTTCCTGCATTGTTTCTGTACCTAGTATAATACTTTTCAATTTCAGGATCACTATCTGAGCCTAACCTCAGAGTCTAACCATTTTTGAGAAAAGGTGAAAAGCTGCCTTGTATTATGTTTCTGTGTGAATAGAAGAAATAGGGGGAATTAATAAAATGAAAGCAGGGACTCTGATTGTTCATCTTGACATCCTGAGTGATTTTTTTTTAATCATGGTGAGCATTGATTTACTCTGAATTATGAAATACTTACGGTACTAGAGAGAACAGTGCAGAATGAGGCATGAAAACATATGGGTTTTGTTTAAATTTTGGTAGATCTCAGTCTTAATGATTGTATATTTAATTTGAAATTAATGCATACAATTCAATACCAACAGTTACTGGCTCAGACGACTTTTAAAAATTCATATAATATATGTTTTTCAATTAGTGATACCATCATTTTCATAAGAAGGTGGCTTGTTGGCCAAAACTTGTGTACCCACAATGATCACATTTGTATTACTTATTTCAGAACAGATTGTGAACTTCAGAGATGCACACTGCATTTAAACTGTAGCATTTTTGCATGTGCAGTACACCGAACCGATTGGCTTAAACATTTTCTTTCAGAAGTGCAACATGTGCTGAAATATGACATAATTATGTATTGTGTGATTACTAATTGCAGCTTCCAAGATACAGTCTGATATTGTACATTCACATAAACACTTTTAGACAAAACCAGATCTTAATAAATTCTTATCCAAAATTACATAAATAAATATAACACTTTCTGAGGATATAATGGTGTACTTTTGCCATCTCTAGTATCCATCTCTATTTGCCATGGTATCTAAAAGGGACCTAATAGGAAGAGCCCTGCTTGAGCAGACCAAGGATCTATCTAGTGCAGCATTCTATTTCCCACATTGGCTGGTCAGATGCTTCCAGAAACCCCCACGCAGGGTGGAAAGACAACAACTGTATGTTTTTGGTCTGCCAGCATTGTTGTCTCTGAACCTGGAGACTCCATTTGGATAGAGTACTTCACAGCTGTTGGTAGGCCAGTCTTATACAACCTGGATTTCTCCAGATGTTGTGGGCTGTAATTTGCATCAGCCCCACCAATCATGGTGATGGTCAGAGATGGTCCAACAGCATCCAGAGCAACCCATGTAGGGGAAGGCTGTGCTAGATCTACCTGCTTGGAGATTGTTGAATCATCTCTGGATTTTAAAGCATCTGACCCAGAGGTTCAGATCTTGTGATAACATCTTGTGATAACCAATGCTATAAATTATGCTTTGTGTAGAAAAATATTTTAGTGCAATTCTATGCATATTTATTTGGAAGCAAGTCCCACTGGTTTCAACAGGATTTCAGATACTGTTTTCATTAGTCTGGGGCTATTACCAATCAGTTTAATTGGGTATCCTGAAGTCCTAGTATATGAAAGAGGGGAAAAAACCTCACTTCACTCTTTCTGTGCCATGCCTAATTAAATCTCTGTCATGTTTCTCATTAGTTGTACCCCTTTTATTTCTAAAATAAAAGAATTCATGGTGTTTTAGCCTTTCCTGATCAGGAAGGAGCCCACATCTTTTGATCATTTTGATCCTCCACCTGTTTTGTTTTTTTCAGCTTGCAAGCCCCATGTTGCCTTTCTTTGTTGTGCCAGTCAGAACTGTACACAGTATTCCAAGTGCTGTTGCATAATAGATTATTTTCAATCCCCTTTCTAATAATCCCTAACATGAAACCTGTCTTTTTCAATGCTGCGGCTGACTGAATTGGCACTTCTGTTACCCACCATGACCCTGAGATTCCCCCCACTTTTTTGAGCAGTAACAACAAATTCTCTTCTTGTGCACTTTTTAATTCATCAATTCAACATTCGAATGTTAGCCTTTGTCATCCCTATTTGACTTAGTACTTAAATTACCTCCCTTCATCCTTTTCACAAAAAGTGATTCAGGCATATCTCACATCTGTTCAGTATCTTCTGCAGTGACATCTTTCTGCCTAGTTTTCATTTTCTAATGTACTGAAAGATTTTAGAACAGTTTTTAGCAATTTGTTAATCATATTATTTTTATGTTGTCTTACTGCAATTTTTTTAGAAATAAGTTTTATTTCAAATTATAATCCTAAAAAACAAAATAAAAAACTAAAAACAACATCCATCATCAAAAACATCGGACCCACTGGGTCAGCCCCCACACCCTTCTTTTTCCATTTATTATAACTTAAAAACATATTTAAATCTATGTGAAGTCCTGTTTCTCTAGCCAATAATAAAAAAGAGTCCCAAGTTTGATAGAAGTCAGTATCTTCCTTCTCTTTCAATTTCTATCCATTTCTGCACAGTCCAGGATCTTTTTTAGAATCAGTTCGTCGATGGGTAGTTCTTCACTTTTCCAGTGTTGAGCAAATGCAATCCTCGCCGCAGTGATTACGTGTAACTTGTCTTATTGCAATTGAGGGCACAGTCCTATGACTGTTCAGACAGAAGAAAGTTTTGCATCTTCCACCATTCCACAACCAGTCATACTGGGAGCTTTAGGTCCTTTTTCTGTATATATAGGATTGAGTCCTTAATCCCCCTCCACTCCCAAGTTTGTAGACTTACTGCTTCTCCTCATTTGTACAACACTTCTATTTTTAGATCTTATCTTGTAAAATTTCCTTTATTTTGCTCATTAACTTCACCAGCATCTTCCTGGACATTACACCTTTTAATAATCTGTGCTACAGAGTTCATGAACTTCTATTATAGTGGTTTTAAACAACCTGCAAGTTTCCTGGTGATATTTGATTTTCTGATCGTCCCTTTTAACTAACCTATTCAGTTTTGGTGGTTTGTTTTAGAAGTTTCTTTTTGAAAAGAAATGTAACATGGATTTTCTGAGCAATCTTCACCCCCCCCCCCCCGCAACACACATATTGGGCTCTTTAGTACTATAATCATTGTTAATGAGTGTTTTGGCACCATTTATATCTTGACCCAGATCTGATTCTGCTTAGGATTAAATCAAGGTTCACCTTGCATTTTTCCGACACCCATGAACTTTTCTAAGGCTTTGTTGAGTTTGCAGCTTGTGGTTCTGAGAGTAACAAATGCATTATGCCATAGTTTTTACTGGCAGACAAATACATGGAGGGTTCTCTTGGTCTGGAATAGGATATTTGGATACAAAGAGAAAATGTTGCAAACAATGAGTTGAGGAGGCATTGATATAAAAGGGGTAGCCGTAAATGTGTAGTATTTCAGAAGTTCTAAAGTACAGTAGTTTAGTTATTGTAACTAGCTATTTTATCTGTTTGTGGTTTGAATTTACATTGTCTTACCCATTGTGAAAGTAGCTGAAGTTGGATTTTTCTATTTTCTCTATTTTACACAACTTCCTTTACCAGCCTCACTAATTTCTTTCTCCTGATCATCGTCAGAGTTTTGATCTGAGAGCCAGTGTGGTGTCATGGTTAAGCGCACGGCACTGGGACGCAGGCAATCTGAGTTCTTAGGCCCTACTCAGCTTTGGAACTCACTGGGTAACTTCAGACCTGCTACAAATTGCCAGCTGAACTACCTCACAGGGTTGTTGTTGTGAAGACTGAAAGGAGGAGCATTATCTAAGCTACTTTGAGGTCTTGAAAGGAAAAAGGTAGGATATAAATATAATGTATAACTAAATCTCCAGATCTCAAAGGACTAAATGTTGGGATAGAAGTAGGGGAGGGCTATTGATATTATATTATGCTTGAACTGCTTTCCAGGACCATCTGCCCAACCATTGCCAAAATGGTAAGGTGGAGACATGTTTGCTTCCTAAACGTGTTCTGCCACATTTTAGCACACATCTGTGCAAACTATAGCTGGCTTTGCTTTCTGCCACATCTAAATCCTGACTTGTTTTGTTCTTACGGATATCTCTCCCTGGTTAAAATGTTCTCATAATCTAGAGCAGTGATGGTGAACCTTTTAGAGACTGAGTGCTCAAACTGCAACCCAAAACCCACTTATTTATCGTAAAGTGCCAACACTACAGTAAAACCTGAAAACTGAGGTTTTAGTTTAGAAAAAACAACTCACAGCCAGTCCAAGCTGACCAGCCATGCGAAAGCTTGGACAAGTTGTGGCTAATGATGTCATCTCCTGGCACCACTACTCCTTTCCGAGCATGCACTTGGCCCCTATGTGTGCTGTTATCCGATGCTCGACTGCTGGGGCAATGCTAGGGTGACTTGGCTTGTATGCTGACGGAGAGGGTTCTGCATGCCCACTGCGGCATGCGTGTCATAGGTTCGCCACCACTGCCCTAACCCTACCCTGGTGCACTCCCCTAACCCTAATAAAGGGTGGAAGTTCCATTGAAAAGGGCGATTTTGAAAAAGCCTTCCTTGAGTAGCTTTTCATGCACAGCTCAACATTTCTGCTCATTTTAAACACATTCCAACCACCAAAATCATGCCAGGACACCTCGTTTTTCTAACTCTAACCCAGTGATGGTGAACCTTTTAGAGACCAAGTGCCCAAACTGGAACCCAAAACCCACTTCTTTATTGCAAAGTGCCAACACTGCAATAAAACCTGAAAACTGAGGTTTTAGTTTAGAAAACACAACTCACAGTCAGTCCAAGCAAATATATATATATCTTTGGCAGTGCACTGACTGGCCATGTGAAAGCTCCAACGAGTCTCAGCGAATGAGTCACGGCTTGTGAGGTCATCGCCTGACATGCGGCTCCTTTCTGAACGTGTGCATGGCCCCTGTGTACGCTGTTATCCAGTGCTCGGCTGAAGGGCCGACTTGGCTCGTGTGCCAACAGAGAGGGCTCTGTGTGCCCACTGTGGCATGTGTGTCTTATGTTCGCCACTACTGATCTAGAGTGTTTATTCATCCTGCATTGTTCCCAAGAGGTCACTAAACATTTCCTCTACTTGGTGGAATTATTCATACTCTTAGAAAAAAATTAACTGTTTAAAAAGATTGTGTTTGCTTTGAGCATATGAAACCACCTTTCATTAAAATTGATCACATTTATATATTTATTTATTTACATATATTTATAAGTTGCCTATAATTGCCGAGACCTTCCCAGGCAACTTACAATGTAAAAATATATGCACCCTTCCCAGGTCCAATGCCTCCTTCTATGCTTCTGGGGGCTGTATTCCAATGAAGACCTGGAAAGGGGTGTCTGAAACAAGAACACTCCTAACTAAGCAGTTCCCTTCATATCTTTTACTAGTGAACGATTAGGATGCTGTGTTTTATTTTACTTTGTCTCATTGTTAAACTGTCCGGAGACTAAGGTAAGGGACAGTCTAAAAAAGTTTTAAATAAATGAATAAATAAACAAAAGTTTCCAAATGTCTATCCATATGGAACCAACTGGCACCACTGACGCATGAGAGATCAGAAGTACAAAGGGATATTCCTGAAAAGGAGGAAGGGACCAGAATAGCCCAGTGACGAGTGATCATGCCTAGTTGGAATGGATTGCAACTGCCTACTGGGTGTGTGCAGAGACAGAAAGCCAGGGCCAGAAAAGGAAGGGGCTGTCGGAACACGATGGCAGGCAACCTGGCTCTCTCCTGACGGCAGCTTCTCACCCTCCTGACTACAATTTGAAGCATTCTCTAGCCAGCCACGCCACCGCCCCAGTTCTAGAGGAAGCCTTCCCAGGCCTTTATTCCCCCCTAAACTAAACGAGACCCAAACTTGCACCCACCCAACCCTCGTGGCAAAGGCACTTGATTCTCTGTCCGTTCAGTGGCTTTTTTTATTTAATCCTCTTTCCAACTCTACCATAGCCCCCTTGACGGCGGGAGACAACCAAAACTATAGTTCAGGATTAATTACCGAGCAAGCCCTATGCAGCTGCGCCCGCATTTTTACAGATGGGCGTAGCCCTGGCCGATGACCACAGAAAGGGCTTGCACATTCGGATTAATACGGTATCGAGGTAAGCCAAGGTGTCCTTTGCTCTCGTTGCTGAAGTTGCTTCTCTGCTTGCAGAAGCGAAACGCGCACACTTCGACTGAAAGCGTTGCTGAAGGGCCAGATTTCCTGCTACGTGTTTGGGATGCTGATCTTTCCCTGGCATTTCACCAGGAAGGAGGAGGAGAGGCGACTCCTACCTCGACTGGAGGGTGGATTTGACTTGACCCTACAGTTCCCTTTCGCAGTTTTCTAGAGGAAGCTGCCCTTTGGGGAGAAGAGGGCTACCAGGAGCTTTCCGGGAAGGGGCTTCGCGAGCGAGGCTCCGGAAGGGGTCAGGCAGTTCGTTTGTGCTCGGGTAGGCGTGCCCTGCTCGTTCTCGCACGCCCCGGGAGGCGGCGAAAGCAGGGCAGGCTGGCTGGAGGCTACAGCGGCCAGGCAGCAGGAGCGAGCCGAGCGGGGCGCGCGTTGCGCGGCTTCTCGGCAAGGTTGGGACGCGGTCTGCGTGGGCAGGAGCGCGGGAAAGAAGGGGGCGACCATGCCGGGCAGCGACACCCCGCTGGCTGTGGACAGGACTTACTCGGACCCGGAGAGGCACCGACGCTTCAAGACCCGGGTAATTCCCTCCCGCGCGCGCGCGCCCGCCGCCGCCTCCGCCTCCCCCGGCTCTGCTCTCCTCCGCCTGCCGCGCAACTCCGCGGTTGACCCAGCTCGCCTGTCCCTCGTCCCCTGGATGCTCGGCTGAATGGTGCAGCCGCGCCTCCTTCGGGACACTTGCCTGTCGTCGCCTCTGGGTGTTGGCAGGAGCTGTCAGGTCGCCCAAAAGGGCTCCCGTTCAGCAGCGTGTTTCTGCGATGTGTCAAGTGTCAGGTCTCAACTCGCCTGGCCGGGTGGAGCAGCCACCAGGGACCTTGCTCCCGACTGGATCCGCGCCTCCCCGCTCCTCGTTATGCTGCTTGGAACACTGGGCACCTGCCGGCGAGCATTGCTAAAAAGTAACGGGAGGAGCGCCTGCAAAGAGCTGCTGCCCTTGCTCCTTAGAAGCGGGGGTCGAAGCATCCTCCAGGTGCAAAGGGGGCAAAAATGTCTCGGCAATTAGACGTCGCAGTTCTGCCTCCCCCCTTCATCCCCATGAGAATACAGTTTAGCAGGCCCTTTAAAACTGGATATTTAATGCTGGGTGTGATCCATGCCTTTGTAGGAGGCTTCGATCTGACAGTGCGGGGCAGTTTGTTATACAGAAACAGGTGGGCTCTGCCCCTGGGATTCAGAGCCAGCCCAAACAGTTGCGCTGCGGATCATCAACCTTTGCTCTTCTGATTCTAAAGCTGTCGAGCCCAGCTCCTATTTGATTAGGGTGCAGGGTGCACTACATATACCTGGGCGGTGGTGGAGATGGGAATAAACAGCTTTGCTCCCATGCCACCTTTGCCCTCCCAAACTTATTAACCACTGGAAGGAGAAAATAGAGTTAATAGCACCTGCAGGGATCAGGAAAATTTCACAGGAGGAGGGGTTAAATCTCCCTGCTCTCCACCCCGGAGTGACTATTGCTTGCCTAATAGAAACTGGAGCATGCTAACAGCACTCGTTTAAAATAAAGTTGGGAGATTCCACTGATGATGCAGACACTATCAAGTCATTACCCTGCAGCCAGCTTCTGCTCATCAAGGTTGCATTAAGAGTTGTTCTACTTGTAGAAAGGCATAGCTCTTCTCCAACAAAGATGATCATTTCTGTGCAATGATTTCTTCACAGCTGGAGTGCTTGCAGTAGTTGATTCACTGCTTAATCTTTGTACCAAAACCCATTAGAAAATACAGCAAAAGTAAATCTCCCTTAGTTGTTTTTGTATTGTTGTTTTAGTCTTAGAAAAGGGGTCATCACAATGCTTTAGACTGCATTTTAAAGCTAGTGAATTGCATGTTCAGTTTAATTAAGGGTACAGTCTTGTGTACTTTAGGCAGAGAAAAGGCTTATAACTCCCAGTGAGCCCCAGTCTGCTTCATAAGGCTTAAGTTTTGAAAATAGACAAAGTCAAAATTGCAAAGATGCAGTCTGGATAAAATGAAGGTGCTGAGCGGATTAGAGGATACATGCAAAAAGTGAAAAGTTTGACTGATAGGCCATTCCTTATTTCTAAAGTGTAGTTTGACTAGTCCCTTCTGGATAAATAATGCAAAACCTTACAGCACTAGAAGAGTGATCCAGTGCAAGTTTAGACAGAGAAAAGGCCTATAACATTGTGGTCTCTGGGGCATGCTGGAAGTTGTAGGCCTTTTCTTTATGTAAAGTTGCTTAGGATTGCACCTTAACAGGGTTTTAAAGATAATATCTGTAGAACACTGCGAGAAATCAACCCTAAGCAATTGCATAAAAAAATTAAGAGGAATGTGATGATATGTTGGAGAGATTAAAGAATCTCAAGGACAAACACTTCAGAATGAGGAGCCTGCTTCATTCCTTAGGAATAATTATTTCCATATAACACTTTGCAAGAATTCAGATATTACCTACATGTATTGTGAGGAATTTAGGAAATGTCTTTATCCTGGATCCATCCTTTCGATACGGATTGGAAGCAGGAGCTCTCCAGGGTTTTAGGCCAGACATTTTCCAAGGATTGAACCTAGACCTTCTGCATGCAAAACAGATGCTCTGCCACTGAACCACAGCCCCTCCTCTAAGCATGCAAGATGAATTAAGATACTCATGGGAAGCTGCCCTATTCTAGGACAAGATGTTTTTTCAGCTAGGCAAGTACAGTCTATGTTGATTGACATAAAGCTCTTCAGGGTCCTAGACAGAGATCTTTCTCTCATTGCCCACTACCTGATCCTTTTAAATAGATAGGCCAGAGAGTAAACCTGGGGCATTAATGCATGCAGCTACTAAGTGAAGGTCCTTCTCAAAACCTACTGAGATACATGAAAAATTCACATACATCTATTTTCCTGTGTGTACAGATTGTGGGCAGCTATGATCAAATATGGCTCATCCACATGTATACACTGAAGTAAATACTATTTATTTGCATATGATACTGTAATCCCCAACATAGTGCCTACAGGAACCTATGACAGAACCCATGAAGTTCTCTACTTCCTATCTACTTCAAAAATTATTTTTAATACAAACTGTAAAAAGCATTAGGGCACCAGGTTCTCCTCCCACTTTCAGTATCAGCTGCAGATCAGGTGTCTGTGGACAGGCAAAAAATGAAAAAGTTGCCTTCTAGGCTTACCTACTCTTCTGTCCACAAAAAACATTCCCCTTTGGTCTCTCTCTTCCCCAGTCCCAGTCTTTAGCCTCTCTATTTCTCTCAAGACATTTCCTTTTCTAATTATATCTCTCCCTTCCAGTTCAGCCTTCCTTTTATCCCTAGCCCTGCTCTTTCTCGCTCCCTTATATCCCTTTGCCTTGACAGTTTCATCTCCTTCCCAACCTGTAGGCTTGGTATTTCTTCCCCTCCAACATTTAGCTCACTGTTTTGGCGGTTGCTCTTGGTCTCCTTGCTACACCTTTGCCTTGCTGTTTCCCCCTACTAGCCTCCACTTTTGTTATTACTCTCCCCATTTCTCCTTAGCTCACTTGACCCCATGAATAGCCACATCCTGCACAGACTCCATTTTGTATTGCAGTGTTTCTCAAATTCCAAAACATGCCTTTGCATCCCAAAAAGATCCTACACCAAATAATATCTTTTTTAATGCAATGTGGAATAGCCCCTAGGTGAGCACAAGATGAATATATAAGTAATTTTGATGATAGGTTTAGAAGCTGTACTACATACTGGTCTAGTTTTTGCTTCAGATTTGACTGAAAATGGGATAAATGTTTAGCTAGGTCACAGCCAGTCAGCTATGAGTAAATGAATCACCTCTATGTAGTAAAAAGTATGGGTCTTGAGTATTTATATTTTAACTTGGCTTTGATAGTTCTTGCTGCAGGCAAAACTGGTTCTGCTATCCCTCTTCTAAGATGAAATGTTTGGTGGTTCAAATAAACTGCACAACTTGAAGTACTTAGTTATTTATCCAAGTATGGAAAATAAGTAATCTTCCTGTACTGAATGCTCTCTTTCTGCCTCCTGTCACATTTAACAACATGGTGTTGATAAACAGAGGGTGTGCTTCAGATTGTTTCAGCATAATTAAATGGTTTAAGATAAACTCACTTGCTGCGGCTTTGCCTTTTCGGACATTGTTATGACAGGATTCATATGTACTTGATGTAAGTGATACTTCCCTAAATCACAGTCAATTTTGCATTGGATAAAAATAATGATAAAATATTTTTTGTTTCCCCTAACCATATCACTTGACACTTAGTGTGATTACTGGGGGAAAAGAAGGACATTCCAAAATATTTTTTTGTGCATTTTCATGGATAATTCTTGGTGTCACTGCTAATTCACATAAGTCAAGTCAAATAGAAATAAAAATGACTGAGACTATTACTTTAATAGCCCTGCTTTTTGAGTTGTCTTCTTACTGGAAAAATGTTGACTATTCTACAGATATTCTTTTAAAAAGTACTTCTAAAAATAAACTCTTTACAATGCAATAAAGAGCAATTAAGAACTCAATCCTATGCAAGATTAGACAGAAGAAAGCCTTACAACTCCCAGTGTGCCTCAGTTAGTATGCTGGAAACTGTAGACTTCTATTCTGTCTAAACTTGCATCAGAATCTACTTTAAATAGATATGCAATGTAAAATGGTTTTATTTTTGTTAACTACAGAACGCCAGGGATCAGGCTGTAGTTGGTATGTTACTGCTGGCAGCATGGCCTGTGGTGGGGGAAGGAGTGACCCCATCCCCCATGCACTTCAAAGCATGTGTGAACTTCACCACCCATGCCTGATTTAGCAGAGACCCTGTCGATACTGTTACTTAGCTTGTGTGAATGGGAATCCCATAAATCAGGTATTAGCATGAAAGTCATGGTGCTCACATTCTTTGAAGATGATAGTCCACATTGGAAATGGAGTGGTAGAGGTTATCATTATTAGAAATAAGGGT